CTTACCACATTTGACACACTTTCTAAAGGAGGCTTTCAGAGCAAATAACAGAAGCAGGCATGCATGATCAATTAGATTGCTGAAAATTTAAAATCACAAACAGGAAAAAAACCCAAAGACAAGACACAGCAAAAAACACCCCACCTCTAGAAAAAAAGACAATAGTCAAGGACTCTACCCTTCAAGAGGCAACCACTATGGCAATCAAAGAGAGACCGAGGGTGTAGGCAGGAACTAGCTATGGATATGCCCTCTCAGAGAGTGGGGGAGGATTCCCAGCAACGCTTCCTCAGCCATAGAAGGTTCCCCAAATGAGGTTTCCATGCAGGCACAGAGCACACTGGTGTGATACAGTGAACACCACAATGAAAAACAAGACGTTTCCATTTAGTATTTTACTTTGTGTCCTACTAGGTTGTGACCATCACACTTTAGACTGCAAATCTTCCTTCAAATGCCAGTGGGATACAGGAATATTAGCTCTGTCTAGGCACAGCCAGTCCAGAAGACCAGGCAGGAAATAAAACAATGTTGTTACCCAATGCCAATCACAAATTTCTCATGTGTAATGTTAGCATGGCCTTTCAGTACAGATTTAAGAGACACACAATGACTTAAGCACACCATGCAGTAAAGTTCTGAAAAGCAGGGTAAAAGTCTTACTTGAAAGATTATTTGATCAATGGTGTATGTAATTCTAACTGTAATACAACATTTGCACTAAAAATCAAAATATGGAATGACTCTGCTTATACAGTCTTGAGACATTTAAATGGAATGACAATAATTCTACAGTATTTTTACACCAAAACACTTATTGCAATTCATTGCTCAAAGCTTATTTCTGGTGAATTTCAATTATAAAATTGAATCAACTTTCCTCCAAAAAGTGTTTAATGATTGCAGGTGGGAACTAATTGTATGAGATACTTTTCTGAATTTATATTATTTTGCGGGGCAGTTGGCAGGACGTGATAGCCCACAATTGCCAATTTAATTCATGGTGAGGCTGGGGCATGTACAACTTCCATTTGAATATGCACCTCCCCCTGCAAATCCTGCCATAACCCATTAGTCTATTTTACGATTATACAAGGATTGTTTAACCCTTTCGTAACCCAAACATATGGATTTGCACAGCATGACACCCTCACAACAAGTGGAGGTTTCATAAGCTATTTGGCACTGGCTGGTACTACCACTTGTCATAGGTTACACAACACCCAACAAGGTGTAGCATCCAGATTTAATCAGTATAACTGTACTGAAAACTGAAAAAGAACAATAAGGCAGAAAATTACAGAGCCCAGCCCAATATAGTTTGATCACTGTATTCAGCATATTTTCAACACATTAGGCAAAGGGTCTTTCTCACCACACAAAGAAAAAAGTCCCCAGATACCGAACAACTGAACCTGCTGCTTCTCACAAGCAAAGTGCAGTCTATGAATCTTCCAACAGTTTTGCTTCTTTCATTAGCACATTTAATTAGATCATAATCCAGAAAATAGCCTGAAAAGAAGTAACACCTTCCCTGTGGACACAGTGGCTGGGTTCAGACAGTATGGCTGAGTATACTTTTGTGTGGGTTTCCAATGAACCATGGATTATGCTGTGTAAACCCAACAACAAATAGCCCACAGGTCACAACTCAACACAACAAACCACAGGCCGCTTTGTTTGACATGATAGCTCATTCTGGCTTAATTTATCCAAAACAATCTACAGCATTTGACAGTTGCCACTGGGCAGGCTCACTATGCTTGTGAATGACACAGACATTTATTTACATGTATGAACTGCCCCATAGCCCAGAGGTCTTGACACAGCTTGCTCTGCCCCTCCTTTTCCTCTGGCATGGGTTCTAGGGACCTTATCCCACAGTCTCTTGCTACACTAACAGCTTTTACTATTGGTCCATATTTGGGGCATGTTCTCCCTTGTCAGCTCCTGTTGGAAAGTTTCCTCCCCTATCCTATGACTGCCAATATCTGCCTGTATTTGTAATTAAAACCTGTATACGCTTTCATGCCTTTCATGTCTTTACTGGCATGCTGCTGTCTCTGTCAATGCTAATTGTTTTGTTCATTCAGTCTACCTCTTCCACCCTGCCCTCTCAAAAGTGGCTCATTCTCACTCTGTATCTTGCAGTCTTGGCTCTCTGATGGTTTGTGTTACAGTTGCCACTGTCCTGACTCCAAGCCCTCCCCTCCTGCCTTCACTCACCTCCAGCCTCTGATGCTTCAGCCAGGGAATCTCTGTTTTTCCATTAAAGCCTCCTTCCCCCTTCCATCATCTCCTGCTATGCCACCAGCTTGTACAAAACAGCCTACTTCCCACAAGACATCTCAAGATACCACAGCCCCAAATAAGTTCTTTACTGAGAAGGAACAGTTTCTGGTAGTTCCTTTAGCTGCCACACGAACAGCTAGAAACCTACTTTTCCTCCAGAAGGCACTACTAGGCACTTCTTGTATTGGGGTGGGTTGCAGCTTACCCAAGGAAATATAAAGAACTTGGATACTGTCTTGTTGGGTGGGATGTAATTCTATAAAACAAGGTTCTGAGAGACTAAGATGGGGAGACTTACACAGGGAGTGCTGTGCATCAACAGAAAGGGCAAGCTGTATTATTCTAGCAAGTATTTATTTAGTATAACAAGGGCAGGTGGGAAAGGTACTTCTGCTGTTTTAAGCCCTTCTTAGTAAAAGTCCAGATCCACTCAGGAACAGCTAGGTAGATGTTTCCAGTTTTGTCCTGAGTTACAGATATGGATGCTGGATCAAAGGAAGTGCTAGGGGTTCATCAATTGCAACAGCATGGTTTTCAGCCCCTTGTCCAGGATTGTTCTAAAGGAGAGCACCCATCTTGACTCACAGATGTACAGTGCCCATCACATCAGGCAAGTGGTCTTCCTCCATATCCAGAAGTGTGTAAAGAAAAACACATCACACCTTTAACCAGGTAGGTATGCTCTATGGAGAGTCAATGTAGTTTTTCTGACTGTCCTCAGAGCCCAGTATAATGCTATAAGCCATGGTTGAAGTGCAAAGGTCTGGTCTCCAAGAATTAAGAGGTGCATGGAGAGGCTGTTTATCATAGTGTGTTTAGGATGGGAGGGGAGCTAGTGAAGATGCTGCCCATGGGTAGCTTATCTGCAAAGGACAAGTTCTAGAAATTAGCCATGCCATGGTTTCTCACCAATCCTCCTGTGCCCACAACTCTTCCAAGTCTAGAGAGCAGTGCTGTGAAAGTATTTACTGTTGTAGAGCTCTTTACCTAACGTGGGAGGAAGTAAAATGTGCACATATGAGGACTCCAGGGACTCTGCAGCCTGAAAGAACCCCAGTACAAGTAACCCCACTTTTTCTTTCATTTAGAACTATTGTCCTATCAGCAATGAAGCTAACTCTCAGTGGGCAGCTCAAGGGAATCCTGCTGTCCTTAATATAACCAATCATCACATCCCCTGCAGGATAACAGCAAGCTTGTCAGGGCATCACATGATGTACAACTCGACTCCTGAGCACTTGTGAGTTCCTTAAACACATTCTTTAGCCCATGAAGCTTCTCCTTGCACTTTGCAGAAGTGTGAAAGTAGCCAAGCAGTAACATACACCCTGAAAATCAGAAGGATGGATTATTGTGCCTGGTACTCTGGAGGTAACTCCTGAGCCTCTGGGGTTATCCAGGGATCTATGAACATTTCTAGGTCACCTTTACTCTGAAAATGCGTTTGAATTCTCATACACCATTTCCCCCCTCTGAGTTGACTGGAGGCCCAGATGTGCCATGACCCACCTCCTGCAAGACTTCTGTGGAGGGATATTATGAGACAAGAGATGGTGAGGACTCACTATCCACTTCTTCCATGGAAATCATGGTGCGATAATGGGGCAGCAAGTGACCCCTAAAAAACAGACATTGCAGACTGCAACTCCTTAAGTACCTGAAGCAACTATTTCTGGATTAAATACTAGTTCTCTACACAGGAATGACCATTACAGGGGAGAACAGGCTATGGCTCCAGTGGCAGGATAACCAGCTGGAATATGGCAAGATAACCAACCCTTTCAAAGTGCAGATCACACACAGCTGCCTCACTTGGGAAGGAAAAGCTGCTTTCCTAACAAAGCAAGGAAAGAGAGACAGTGGGAGGTAGGAGAGGAGAGTGCTGAGCAATGTGAGATGGCACAAGATACCACAGCACAGGATGTTGTTAGGCAAACTCCAAGAAGCAAGGTAGTTCATGAGAAGATGAGCTACAATGGTTTGGGCTAGTTTGCTTGAAGACTAAATGGTACTTTTCAACATGCCATGACAAAATCAGTCTCCCAGATTCAGGTGACACAATCCATTATGGATTACCAGGGCAGTTTGTTGGCAAAAATTAAACCACTCAGCACTAGATGCACCAGGTTTGGACAATGCAACAATGCATCATAGCTAGCTACACAAAATGTCACGTTGTGCAAGCAAGGGCTTCTTGTATCCTATGAATCTGGCCAGCAAGGATTCATTCATTCATTCATTCATTCATTCATTCATTCATTCATTCATTCATTCTACTTAGCACAGACCCACTGAAATGAATGGAATGGCAGCTAGACTACCACTAGATAGAACCTCAGATCAGTTTTCTAAATGTTTTTAGAAAACATTATTTCCCCTCAAATCAGCAAGGAGGAGGTGAACAATTTGAGAAAGGATGTGCCACTCTCTTCCACAGGTCAGAGACAAAAGGAAAGGTGAGGTCTAGACACCTCTGGCCCCATATGGCAACTTCCAAACCCACATGAATTTTCAAGTCCACATGAACTCCCAAGCAGATCCAAAAAACAACTAGGAAAGGATTGCCTGTGTGTTTCCATTCGGCTTTGTTACATCACATTAACAACAGTCATGGAGGCACACAATGCAAAACTGGTGCTATCCTCATGGAAAGATATGCAACTCTTGATTTCTCTTTCCCCTCCCTGCCCCATGGAGAAAGAAATTACCTGTGCAAATCTGCTTCTTTGGCGTCTAAGAAATTCACTGTGTATTTAACAGATTTGGCCATTAGAATCCTAATATCAAATGTGTCCTAGGAAAGAAAAGCACACCCATGAAAACCTCTGGCTGGGGCAAAACACCTAAAGCTGCAAATTTGAGCTGCCACCAACCCATTTCAACTCCCTCCCCCACCAAAAAAAAAAAAAAAATTCAGCCCAAACTCATGTGTTAAGCCAATCAACTTACCACCACAGGCTGCCTGAAATATTCATCTACTGCTGCACCACGAAGTGCTGACAAATCTACCCCATGGAAAGACGGCTGATACCTGCAAGACAAGGAACAGCAAGGTGGCCAATCTGGACTGATACCAAAAGGAGAAACTTAGGGAAGCACTGGCACACAATGTTAGATATCTAATAACTGTAATTAAACCTGATAAGCAGGTTCTTGTCCTAAACAACACATTCTAAAACACCCACACACATACATCATAAGGCAGCAAAGAGCTTTTTCACTGCTTTCTAACTCAAGAAAACTAGAAATGTTGCTTTGAAAGAGCCACTTTAGCTTAGATCAGCATTGGAGCAGTTTCAATTTCACAACTGGTGAAATCCAAGGTGATTTCATGGGAGACGACACTCACCAAAAGTTAGCTTTTGTAAATTGTTCCATGTAGAGCTGCTCATCTGTGAATGGTGCTAGGTGGACATCCCCAATTGTTGGAAACATATTTCCTGAAATGGAACAGAAGATGGAAATGGTATTTTTATTTATAGGCATATTTTTTACCTCAATGTTCAGTTTAAACAATAAACACAAAGTGGATAATGTTCCTAATTATTTTTCAGTAAACAGAATTTTAAAGAACAACCAAAAACATGGGTGAATGAAGGCCAATCACTTTGGAAGCAAGACTGGGCCACATAAAAGTATTACAGTGTTTTCAAAAATACATTTAAAAACCATCAAGGATGTGTGAGCTTCCAAGACTGAAAGCACCGAAATGAGGGGGGGGGGACTGGAAAGCATGTAATTATATATTGAACACCAAAAGACATGCTTTCCTGCCTTTGTTCCTACTTTTTGATTGTGACACACTGCCACACAATCAAAGGTGTAGAAAAATCCTCAATGTTTCCATTATTTCTGTAGGCAGCTCTTATTTCTGCCTGGGGGCAGGGAGAGGAAAGGTAGGGGGTGGACTCTAAAGGAATCAGAAATCTTGCAGACTGAGTTTATCATTCCAGTCTATATTTGAGAGCAAATAGCATGTTAGGAAGACAATTAAGAAAAATGGAAAACAGCAGAGGGAGTGATGAAATTTGTTCCTTCAAGGCCTTAACAGTTTGTAGCAAGTATCTAAAGGAAGATTGTGGGGGGGCGGGGCAGTTGGAGAAGGATTAGTGTGATAAGGTTAATACAACTTTTCCTGTCTATACTGGGACATTTCAGAAGAAAGGACCCACTTCCACATTTCAAAACTACTGCTCTGCTATTTAAGAATTAGACGCCCAGGTTCTAGACAGGAAGCTTTTCACAAATCAGAGCCTTCAAGTGCTATAAATAGTGTATCATACATATCAGGGGAAAGCTTTGCAAGCAGGAGATACAACTTTCCTCATCTACCTTCCAAAGGCCTAAACACACTAGAAGGCTCTTGTTGCAAACTGCCTGAAACTCTGAACAAGAGAGGTAGCATGTCGGAAAATTGATGCATTTATTCTTGAAAATAAATTTGAATAGAGTATACACTTGGCAGAGTTTCAGAGTCAAGATGAAAGATTGGCTGAATTTCAGAGTCAAGATGGAAAAAAATCACTGAATCAGAGCAGCTTTGAAGTTTTTTCCGGAGAAGTGAGGGTCCCTACCTTCTAAAGTTTCTTTTCTTGGAGGCTCAAAGGAAAACCCATCGTATACTTTTAAACTTAGTAAGTTCTACTCAGTGATGAGAGAAGTGTTGACAACTAACCCTGTGCAAGTTCTGTTGCGCTATGAAGATGTGCATTGGCATGGTGGACCTACCACTTGCTTCAACATGCTGGGGTGAAGATTTGGCAGATGAGACCCATTAGGCATTATCCAAAACTAATTCTTCTTCCTCCTCAGGCTGTATAAAGGGTACTGAGGGAATGAAACACAAAATTCTGGGCTTATCATTCAGCTTGCTATATACCCAGCACCAGAGGAAGTTACTCTGCACTGTACCAAAGGCCTCAGGGCTGAATGCACAATTTACTGTCAAAGCTTTAAAACAATTAGACTTTACAATAGATCAAATTTTAATGAAAAGCATAGATCAGTAGGCCCGACAGGTTCTTGTAAGCTTTGGAAGAGACTGGATGCAAGACGCTTTAGGATTTACATCTGCTTAATTTGCTTGCTTTCCCTCTTATTATTACAGGACATTTCTATACCAACTGCAACTGGGTGGTTCACAACATTTAAGTCACCCATCCAGATTTCAATCAGAACCTGCTTAAGCTTCCAAGATCAGGTAGGATGAGGCACTTCAGGCTATATGGAAGCTTACAGTATGTTTTTAGGAGGTACATAAAACTCACAACTTTTTCTGCCTTTCAGTCTGAACTCGGAAGGGAGTTCCAAAGGATGGAGTCACTACTCAGGTGACATTCTACTGGTCCTGAAATAACTAGCAAAACTCCTGCTGAGATGGGTAAGCTGGGGGCATACGGGGGAAGAGGATCTGCATGGTATCTAGCACAAAGCCAAAGCAGTTCTTTCTACACAGATGTAGTGTGCACATGGATGGGTGTCCCACTGATCATTCCAACTGCTACATTCTGCATTTATTCCAGTTTACAAATTGGGAACAAAGAGAATCTCACATACAGTGCATTGCAGGGGACTAAAAGTGAAGTTGTGCATGAACCACAGTGGCTGAAGCCCTGGGAATGCTTGTGGTTATTATAACAGCTCAGGTTCATAGAGCCACTGAGATCACACAGGCTCAACAACAAACACATTCAGGAATATGCTCAAACTGTGCAGCTAGGCTTATTTTTTTCCTTTTATTTGCTTATTATTTATTTATTATATTTCTATATCACCCAGTTGCCAAGGTTAACAAGGCAGTTCACAACAATTAAAGCCATAAAATACATGATAAAATATTGAAGTTTAAATAAAAAATAAAAACTATCTTAGAGGGCAGGCAATAGAGGAAAAGATCCTTCAAGTAACCTGACCAAACTACTCAAGAGTTTTGAGGTACCAGCAGTTTGGATCAGGCCCGAAATGGGTTGGCAGGCACTACAAATGAAAAAGTACCAGCATCATAGGATTATGATGGTCAATCCCTGTCCGCTATGTAATTACAGTATTTTGGACCAGCTGAAGTTTCCAGACCATTTTCAAAAGAAAATGCACATAGAATGCACTGTAGTAATCCAGATAGGATGTTAGCAGAACACGGACAACTGCAGCTAATTTATCCCTCTTTGGAAAAGGATGTAGTCGGTATGTTAGCCTAACTTACCAAAACTGCCCTGTGCCACAGAATTTGTATGCCCTTCTACATAACTCATTAAACATACCATAAACCCAAGGCTCTGTGTTGCCCCATCCCACCAAACAAGAGGACTGAGCTGAAAAACTAAGGACAACTTTTAGTCCATATAGCTTAAAATCAAAGTCAACACAACATGCAAGACTGTAGAACATCTTTGTAGCTTACATGAAACAGAAATTAAAGATGGTACCAGCTCACAATTTTCATGCTATCTGGTACAATACTGAATTTGCAATTGCCTTTTTTAATCCAAAGATTTTTTTTCCTCTTAGTATCTTGCAGCCCCTCACAAAAATTCTGCCAAACGGGAGAGTAATATACCACTCTAATATTCCTCTACTGTTCTTTATTCAAAATTAAGCAAACTTACTCAATTCTTTTAACACAGGGGTCTCAAACTCAACTTACCTGGGGGCCGCCGGAAGTAGAGTCTGGGTGAGGCTGGGCCACATCAAGTATTCCACCACCGCGGTGGTGGTGGGCTGCTCATCCCGCGGCCTCCCCCATGCCCCTCCCGTCCCGGCAATTGGCCCGCAGGCCGCGAGTTTGAGACCCCTGCTTTAACAGCACATGAGATTTATTTATTTATTTGGATATTTTTACCCCATCCAATTACATTGCTCATCTCTGGATGGCTTACAAACAAGATTTTGTGTCCAATTTCAAACTCCTCCTTTAATGAAATTCTAAGGCAGATGGAGGGCACTTGCTTTGAACAAATCATGGGATACACCCAGCAGCATCTCCTACATCTTGAAAGAGCTGGCTGTTGCCATTTTAAGATACTTTCTTACTGGGTTATGCTGAGAGTCAAAGACCAATACACTGCTACCTGGAGGCAGTGAAGCCAGGAAAGGAAAACACTCAAATTTTAATGAGGACTGAAGGTAAAAACTTCCCCACCAGCACCCAATGAAGATGATAGGCTGGTGAAGTGTACTTGATGGAAACATGAGTTAAAAGTTTATGATTTTGAGAACATAATGACCAGGACTGTTTTTTAATTTGGAAACAAAATAAAGGCAAAACACTAATTAAATATTATCCAGTTTGAATTTGGGAATTAGAATCAAAGGTGCCCATAAAACCAACTGGGGAGACAGTAGTGAGACCGCTTAATAAAGAAGAAGGGGATCCAGTGACTGATGTGAGAGAACAGGCAGAGATGCTAAATGACTATTTTGCCTCTGTGTTCTCCCCAAAGCAGGATGGGGGAGATCTGTATGGGAGATTTTTTTTTTTGTCTTCCCCCCACTTTTATTTTTTTAGACAGAAAAAACCATAAATACAATCACAACAATAATAAAACATAACAAGAACACAATAATTAAAAAAGAATAAATGAAAGAGTGCACCCACCACCCCGGCGACCAATACTACCATCATACACATACTATAACAATTAACAATATATAATATACTTCAATTATACCCATATCCCCTCCAGAAATTAATATAATCCTGATTGGGTTTACAGCCTTTGCCTTCTATCAGTACTGCTTTTACAAAATCTTCCCAAATTTCATTATATACATTTGCTTTCACTAACCCTTTTTAACTTTTTCTGTTGTCAGTTTATCATTAATTACCATATTCCATATTTCATTATACCATTCATGCCTTTGCAAAACCCAATTCTGTTCTCAATATTTCACTATCACTAGTCTAATTGCCATTACCATACGTACAATCAATTCTTTCTTAGCTTCATTTATATCTTTTCTATCAACAGTAATAACACCATTCTCGGTGACATTTCTAAATCTATATCTAAAATTTTTCCAATTTCCTTAAATACCACATTCCAAATCTTTTGTATATTTTCACAATCCCACCACATATGTTTATAAGTTCCGATCTCTTTAGGACATCTCCAACATATATAAGAGTATTTATCATCAATTTGATTTAACTTGACTTGTGTTAAATACCATCTCCATATCACCTTGTATCCATGCTCTTTAATTCTAACTGACATATTCTTATATACTCTTCTATTCCAAATATTCTTCTAATCCTTGTCTTTTATCTCACCTACATTCATTTCCCAAATTGATTTTAAACTTTTTGTCTGATCCCCTAACTCCATTAATATCCTGTACATTTTGGCAATTCTTCCTTTACTTGTGTATTCTTCCCCAGTCTCATATTCTTTTATAAACATTTCAAATTTTGTTGTCTTTCTTCCTCTTTAAATTTGTTCTC